GAGTTTCAACAAAACCTCCTTCTTGAAACGGGCCCCTGATGTATTCATGGATCTTTGTTGTTTCATCCTGGATAGTGGCTCTGATGCTCACTAATGTTGTGACTCACCAAAGTTAAAAACATTCTCTTAAATCAGTTTTATTTTTGACTCAACATCCAAAAGAGGTGGGAATGACTGGCTCAATTCTCAACATAACTTTTAGATAGTTTTAATGTAAAATCTTTATTTGAAAACTAATCAGTATAAATAAATGTGGTGGGTTAAAAAGTTTGGCACTCAGATACAGTGGAGTACAAGCATAACACAGCATGAAATAGAAATACGCGAGTCAAAAAGAACCCGTCCTAGCAACACCAGACGGGGATCACCTGAACTATGGTTCGGCCGTGGCAGCAGTTTAGCAGCAGACCGGAGCACGGTGCTGCCTGACAGCATTATCGTTGCTTCCACTGGAGACGCCAATCAGTCACAGCGTGTCGCCAACTATAGACAAGAAGAGAAACAGAAGTCCGAAACAGTCAGCGGACACTGGGTATTTACGGAGACACGTAGCGGTAGGTTGTTGTGACTTACCGACGTTAAAACATTCTCTTAAAACTGTTTTATCCCCCTTTAGTTGCCAGCTGCTACCTCCCATGTTTGCTAGCCACCTCCATTCTTGATGCTGGGATATTCCTGCCCTGAGTTTGACTTCTTAGGCACCTGCTATCATGATGTTGTGTGAGATATAAAGGACCTTATCAGTGTTTTTGTTCTTTTTCATCAATTCATGTGCACTTTAGGTTACAAACCACCTGCTTGTGCCTTTGTTATTATCAATGTGTTTTCATATCATTAATAGGCTCCTACAGTAAGTAAATCAGCCTATAGTTTCCTGATATTGATCTATCATCACATATTGTAGATAGAATGATGGAAGTTTAAGTATATTTATTCATGCATGATTGAAGCACAATACTGCTTTTATTGTTAATGCCGCAATAATATTAATCCAGTGCTATAACAGGGATGTTTTTATGTCTCATGAGTCCTTACCTTTGATACTTTAGGGATGTTTTTACCAGTTTTGGTCACACACTTTCACTTAACTTACATTTCTAATGCAGAACTTCTGTTTTCTAAAGTATTCACGCTTGCTAGAGAATTGCTACTTTACCGAAGTCCCATTTCTAGGAAAATAGCCCGCACACTGATAAAATAGTAGAGAGACTCTACAGATTAATACGTTCATGACAACATATTACAATGTGTTTACTTAAAATGCTATAAAAATCGCACAATTGATTAAAGAAATGTCTTTCAAAAATCAATAATAATAGCAACTTTAAAATGTTTTATCGCTTATAATATGTGCCTTTTAATCGACTTAAATATAGGCTATGTAATGCAGTTTGTATCATATTTGGGATGGGAGTAATGAAGGCTGCCTGACAGGCCAGTCTCGGGCAACAAAAGCCCGCATCCGATGGGTCTGTCCGATAACTCGCCTGAATGAAAACACGGGAGCGACGCCACTAGCAGAGAAGCAGTGTTTTGGGAATAGAAGTCTACTGTGACGTTAATATTCCCTTTCAGCATTTTCTCTTGGGTGTTGAGTGTATATTTTCGATCAGGTGTGTTTCCCTTCGATTACTGACTTTTACGACTGCTGGTACGAAATGCATTTTGTTAATGTTAGCCCATATAGCAGCAGCAGCAGCTAGCTAGCAGCTAGCTAGCCAAGCAAGGTGTCATGCGCCAAACAGTCCTCGCGTCACTGATGGATTTACATTTCCAGAAACTTCTGGCTTGTGATTACTGAAGTGGTCGTCAGTGTCAGTTTTACACGACTGCTTCATTGTTAACACCTGAATTGGTTTTATGTGAAGCGTAGTGTGGTCAAAGTAAGGTTGTATGTTATAGTACGTTCCTTCACTCCCTGCACGTTAGCATAACGTTACCTATTTTAGCACAACTGACATTGACATTAGCAGGTCAGCACGTAAACAAAGCCGAACTTGTTTAAGTAGTTTTCTTTTTCCTCTTTGTGTTTCACTGCATGCAGCGTGCTGTGTGCTGGACGTGACAGAACAGCATGGACCCACGGAAAGTGACAGAGTTGAAGGGCTTCGTGCAGCTGTGCGAGTCCAACCCTGAGATCCTGCACCTGCCAGAAATGAGCTTCTTCCGAACCTGGTTGCAGAGGTTAGTCGCGTCAGAGCTGCTGCTCCAACCTGTGAACACATTTAACAATTATCCAAGTTTTATGTAAAATATTCATAATGATTTTATTATTTAATCATGTCTGTAAAGTCCCGAACACACCACGTGCCCTGTCCCGCCCACCTTTCAGCTACCTACACAACAATAGTAGTTTATTTACGTAGCGCTTTCAATGAACCCGAAGACACTTCACACAATTTTTAAAAAGCAGCAAACATCAACAAAACGGCAGCGTTTGGAATATATAAGGACAAAGTTGATATAGGAAATAAGATGCAAAAAAGGAACAAGGATGGAAGGGAGAAATTACAGGTGAACCATCTTTGAAAAGGTGAGTCTTGACTGCCGTTTTGGAAGCGTTTCGTGTGGGAGCATGTGTTTCTGTTTGTGTTAGATTTAGCTCAAAAACTATTGTTGTGAGGTCCACAACCTCAAAGACCTGTTTGATGGTTAAGATTTGGGTTCAGATTAGGGTGAGGGTTGGGGTTAGGTTGGACATTTAGTTGTAAAGGTTAGGATTAGGGTAAGGGTAAGGGGCTAGGGAATGCCTTATGGAACCCAGACGTGTCTCCAGACTCACCCACATTCACACCTCAGGTCAGTAAACCTAAACTGTCATGGTATATGTTTGTTTATATTGTAATACTGAAGTGTATATTTTGTGATACAATGTACATTTTCTGTGAAATTAATGGAGAAAAGTCTTTTTAAAAAACAGTTGAAGAATCTAGGTACTTGTATGGTTTACTGAATTGTTTTCCATTTCACATTGCAGCATGGGTGCCACACTCCCACCCAAGACAACTGGTTCATGTCAGGTGACTCATAAATACTGCTAATATGCTATTAATTTTACACTTTAGATAATTTAACATTTTTTCTGTATTTTATTTCTTAATTAGTCCCCATCAGACACACATTATAAGTAAAAGGTGAAGTTTGCATTTGGCCCATCATATTGTGACTGAGTGCTGTCGTACTTGTAGGGCGGCTGTCCCTGTGATCCTCCCCCGACATCAGCTTCAGCTTCACCTCCTGAGCCCGAGCCTCCTAAGCTGTCTGAGAGCGATGAGAGTGAAATAGGTAATGTATGTTCACAACTCTGGGCTCGGTGGGGGTGGGGTCCCTTATCAGTGGAACAGTGTTTGTCCAGTCTAGATGAGTGGACTTCGAGGCACAACATTGCTAACTCATCTGTCTCTGATAATAAAAGAAGCAATAGATGCAACATGCTGGCTTAATTTAAGGAATAGTTTGGGAAACATTCACTTCATGCTTGGAGTCACATGAGGACTGATTCCACGCTGCAGCCAGCTGCTGGTTAGCTTGGTTGAGCCTACAGACTGGAACAACCAGCCTGGCTCTCTCTGTAACAGAATCTCCCTATGACTGGCAGCCCGGGCTAGCTGTTTCTCCTGTTTCCAGTCTTTATGCTAAGCTAAGCAGCTGCTGGCTGTAGCTACATGACTGTCGTACAGATGTTAGAGTGGTGTCAGTCTTTTTCATACAACTGGATGGCAATAAAGGAAATAAACCCATTTCCCCAAATGCACTTTAATAATGTATTTAACCAGAAGGTTTGTCCAAACCTCTTACTAGTAGTGTAGCTTTTTATGTAGTTTTCATACCTGCGGGGAAAGACTTGCCTTGCTAGAATGTGGGAGAGATCTGGGAGAGTGACACACTGGAATGAATTATATTATTTGAATAGAAATTAAGCAGATTTGAGTAAAATATTTCCAAGGATGTGCCTACCTTATTACCTTTAGACCCTTATCACTGTGAAGATTACAGTAAATAAGGGTTTTGAAGTAATGGGTAGTTTGCATGTCCCAAGAATAATTAGTTATAAATGTTGTAATTGTTTTCAGAAATTGACCGAGAGGGAGTGATTGACCCAGACACGGTGGAGCCACAGGACATGGGAGAGTTTGAAAATGCCGAGGTAACCTGTTTAACTCTACTGTGATATCTGTTAGTCATGAATACATTTACTCAAATTCAAACCCAGGTAAATTTACCAGGCCTGGTAAATTAGATTTTAACCCTTGAGACAGGATTTGTTTGAGTCTGTGTGTCCATAAATCATCTCAGGTCACAGAGGAGATGATGGAGAAGGCCAATGAGAAGAAGATGGAGGCTATTGATGCTCTAGGAGAGGGTGGGTGGAGCAGTGCATGTTGTCGCACTTCCTGTATCGATTAGGTAAGAACCTAATTAGATTTATTATCTCGTATACCTTTTGCTCTTTCCCCTCCTATAGGCGATCTGCAGAAAGCTCTGGATCTCTTCACTGAAGCCATCAAGCTGAACCCCTGCATTGCCATCCTGTACGCCAAGAGGGCAAGGTGAGAGTCCTCAGGTCTTTCATTAGGGCATCTTCTCATGGCAGTTAAGCATCGTTTCTGTTGTGTTCTGTGATGAATAATGAGTGTAATCAGCTGCCCTCTTTGTTAGTGTCTACATCCAGATGCAGAAACCCAACGCAGCCATCAGAGACTGCGACAGAGCCATCAGCATCAACCCAGACTCTGCACAGCCTTACAAGTGGAGGGGCAAAGCTCACAGGTACTTTCCTCCACAGCACAGATGGTGTCAAGTGAGGAAACACCCAGCCACCTTGTAGACGTGCACCACAACCAATCCCTCAGTGTAAACACAAGTACTTCCCATCTCGGCTTGTTTGACAACTGGCTTTTAATATTTCATCAGCTGTGCTGATTGTGGGACTAGTGATAGATTAAGCTTGTGTTAGTGTTGCTCCCACTCATGTAATGTGCTGTTATAACTATATTATGATGTATATTCACCTTTATGCAACACACAACAGCAAATTTACCACCCCGTATCACACGGACATTAAAAATGAGCCTGTCTTCTAATGTTGATGTTACGTTTTATTAATTGTGTGTGGGCAGCCTCCTACCTACCTTTGCCTACTTGTCCTCGGGGAGTTGAAATATTGTACTTTGGGGTTGTGTGACAGCTGGTGACACAGGAAAACGCTGCACATACACAGGGAAGAATATCAGCAGAGTCTGTATGCAAATGTCCTGCAGTCAGTCGATACTGGAGAGACTAGTTTTGACAGCACAGCAATGAGCCAAAGCAGATCTCAAAGTCCAGCATGAAGTAAGAGAAACACGACCTGCAGCACATGGAAAAGATTCAGTTCATACTAAAAGGCCCCATAGACAGTTTCTGTTCATGCATCACCTGTGTAAAAATTTTCAGAGTGGTGACAGACTGTGTGGGCACAACACCTGCCCCCTGGGTGTAAGCTGTAACAGGTGTAGCGCCCTGTTGTTGTTTCTGTTCTGTAAAAATCAAGCATAGGAACAGTTAGCTGGATACAAAAGGGTTGTTCTATCAAAGGAGAGCTGTGTAAGTCTGACTAAATAAAATGTAACGGCGTTTTAACGTGAGGACAAGCTAATTTATTCTGTTTTCTGCAGGGGCTCAGATTACTTTTCACTTCAGAATCATCAGAATCTGTCATTAGCTTAGGGAGCACACACTCCCTAGTCCGCAGGAGCAGCTCAGGCCCTTAGACACTGTGTGAGTTTGAGCTTTTCCTGATTAAAGGTGACAGTTGTAATGAAATCTTGGCTCATCATGTCAACATGGTGGTGGAACATCAGTGAGCCAAGAATCCTGTGTCAGAAATGTATCACCAGATTCTCAGTGTGAGTGCTGCCACAGCCCACACTACACAGAAAACACACTGTATTGTTCAACCTGGCCCAAAGCTTATTTTTGTTTACTGCCTACATGAGAGCAGCACAGCTGAAAATCAGGGCTGTGCTTTTTTTTTTCCTGTTTACACTGTAGCCTCGCAATTCACCAGGCACCATCGGACCAGCCTCAGAAGTGATGTCACACTGACTCAGATCGCAGCTGGTTTTGTTTCCACACTGATCTGTGTGACCTGTAGTGAAACTGTAAGGTTGTTTTATTTTGACGCACACAGGCCCTTAGTTTAATATGGAATCTGTCTGAGGACGAGCAGCTAATGAAGCCCTTGATTGTCAGTGAAATCAGGCAGCTTTTTCTCTTTGCCGTCCATGCTGCTCGTGCCATCTGGTTAGTCATCTGACGGTGTTATATTTTGCTTGGTGTGTTTGTGTGCGCTGCAGGCTTCTGGGTCACTGGGAGGAGGCAGCCAGGGACCTGGCCACAGCATGTAAACTGGACTATGATGAGGGCACCAGTGCAATGCTGAAGGAAGTCCAGCCAAAGGTACAGTGCCTGAGAAGAGAGAATAAAACACTTCCTTGCCATTTTTACATTTTCTTGTGATGCAGATGTTATTTTAAGCTCAGAATAGAGAAGCTGGTCCATATTTGCCATCTCTCTCAGTGCTGATGTAGATGGTTCACTCAGGTCTCCAGAAGCCTGCAAGGACAGCCTGGGAATCAAAGATGATACTAGAAGAAGGTGATGCTTCCCTTTGTTTTCAGGCTAATAAAATTATGGAGCACAGACGCAAATATGAGCGCAAGAAGGAAGAGAAGGAGGTGAGGGAGAAACAAGAGCGGATAAAGAAAGCCAGAGAGGAGCACGCTCGAGCTCAGAGGGTGAGTTGCTGTCAGGATGTCCTTTGTTCACACTCAGAGAAATAGACCAACTGGCACTTCCAATGAAACAGTTTTGTAAAAAATGTGTTAAATATTTTACTTCATGAGTTATTGAGTGTAGCTTGCTGGGCAAAATAACAGTTTTCTCTATTCAGAATTAAATTTACAACACAAAGTGAAGGGTCCGAACACTGAAGTCACTGTTTCCTTTTCTTATTCTTGACTTAATGAGAGAAAAGGCTTTCAGCGTGAGAACTAACCAGTGTGTTCTGCAAACGACCTCAGAAGAACTGAGCCATTGATGTTGGCCTCCGCTCAGTTTGAACACAGGGGGCATCGTTCAGATATTCACAACAAGAGTTTTCAGTTCGGCTCAAACTAAAAGTCCTGAACCTTGACCCGCTCTTTTGTCTCTCATTAGGAGGAGGAAGCACGGCAGTTTGGAGGAGGCGCCTTCCCAGGTAGGAGAGTGGAAACAAGTCGGTGCATTGCATGATTGGATCAAACACTCCATATGTTTCAGAGGAAAAGGACATTTTAAAAAACAATGCGCTGTGGATGTTAGGACGACTGTTTACATATCTAGATTAACAGATTGCAGTGAATAAGCACAGATACTTGCAGAGAGGCAGGAGCACTGCCCAGCTTTGTCGTTTCAGTTTCACTGTGGTTCTGCAGGTCCTGCTGGATTCCCAGGAGGAGGCCCCCCCGGCATGCCTGGTCTCGGTGAACTCCTGAAGGATCCTGAGCTGCTCAATGCCATGAAGGTGACTCGCTGCTCAACATGAATCCTCTGCATCACACCACTGAACTGCTGTCTTCATATCTTCGACTGTACAGATCTCTTAAAATGAGCACTTTGTGATTTTTTTGCAACTGTCATCACATTTTGATTCATACAGTATGTGGCTAAATACGACCAAGTGCACAGAAGAATGTGCAAACCAAAGCTTGGCACATGTAGGATCCCTTTGCTCAAGCCAGAAGCCAGTTCACTTCCTTTAGAGCTGATTTGGTAGTGCACTGTGAGTAAAGCTGACCTTGTTTGCCTCCAACTCCAGGACCCCGAGGTGATGGCTGCCTTCCAGGATGTGGCGCAGAACCCAGCGAACATCTCCAAGTACCAGAACAACCCCAAAATCATGGCCCTGGTCACCAAGCTGAGTTCCAAATTTGGAGCTTCACCACAGCCGTAGACAGGAAGAGACCAAATCAGAGGGGAGGGAATATCCATGGTGACACAATCTGGAGAGGCTCGACGCTTTTCAACAATTATTCCACTGTGTGCAGATCAAACGGAGGCGAGGGTGACGGGTTAATTATGTGATGCAGAGAAAGTGAGGCAACTTTTAAATGTTCTTAATCTGCCTGTTAGTACTTAGCAACGTCTCAACAAAGCAACCCCGATGGTTAGGAGTCGGGCCTGATACTTAGACAACCCCTCTGACTCGTCTCACCTGGGACTTAACGCGGCTCCACATTTCTTCACCTATAAAGTGGGAGCTCCTGCATTGAGACCCTAGCTCAAAAACAGCTGTTTGATATGTGGTAATGGGTTAGCTACTGTTTTTTTTTTTTTTTGCTTTCTGCAAACAGAGCTGAACTCTCACACAACTGTTAACACATTTTATTAACAGATCAATTATGAATGCAAAAAAACCTGAGCGTGATGTCTGACCCCATTGGAAAAATGATTCACTGTAATAAAACCTTTGTTGGAAAACATGTTTGACACTGATTCTGGTTGTTTGTTTCCATTACTGACATCTTGTAAGTTTTACTGCAGAGAAAGGTGATTCCAAAAAATTTAACTGGCTCATTTTTAACCCTTTATCTGGCATCAGTTCAGGTTTTACAAGCAGCAGCTTTTATGTGAATTTCACATTAAATCCATTGTAAAGTTTAAGCTTGACTGGCTTTGTTTGGTTTGGGGCAGCAGTACCTGTAGGCCAAATTATGTTTTAAAGATTTCCAAGCTGTTTTAAAGACGCCAACTCAAATTCTGATCTGCTAAAATTTGTACCTAAGACCGTTTGAAACAGATTTGACATTTTAAGTCATTTATCAGGCAAAAATAGCAAAGCATTACTGTCAAAAGAATGTCTAAAGAAGTCACTGGAATCTTACAATAAGGGATTGGTTTACTTGCAGCAAGGAGACAAGTCAGCATAGGCATGCAGAGTTGTCTGAATAAGCTTAGTCTAAACATCACAATATATAGGACAAAGGGAACTCCCTAAAGACGCATTCCAGGCGTTAATCAAGTTGAAAAGAAGAATCAAACAGGAAAAGTGAACTTGAGCGGCTTTGCCCCGATAACCCCTCAGACGATAAACAATATGTTGTCCGTTCATCTTCACAGTATATAGCAGGAAAGAGTTTATGGCTGGCTCCTTTAAGTCTGGAATGCCATCTGGCTGAACATATAACAACACAGAGTACTGAAAACAAAAATAAAACATGTCCCTTCAGTTCACACATGCAGTGTCTCACAGGTCCCTGTGATCTGTAGTCTGTTCTGAAAGCTTAAAATCCATTGAATAACATATGCTGGTTAATATATTGATTAGAACACAGTTTAAAACATACTTAATGTAATTTTCATGACAATTACTGGTTCCACATTGTCAAATTTGAGGATTTTTTATTTAGTATAAATGCATTTAGAATATCTGTTTTGGGCTGTTAAGAAAAAAAGTAATTTAAAGATGTCACCTTTGGAAACTTTCAGTATTTTACCTCTTTTTTTTTTTTTTTTTTTTACCCAAACTGATTTAAGCATTTAATCATTAAGTTTAGAAAATTCTGCCCCTTCTAATTTTTAAACCCCAAATTGTCATGTTACTTTATTTTGGTTATCCAACTAATTCAACAGTACCTAAAGATGTAGTTCACTGTCACAAGCACAAGCATCTTCAAAATGTAGAAGCTGGAACTGAGGAATTCTTGTTTGCTCAAACTTTTATCCAAATGTTATCCCATTATTTTTCTGTTTAATTATGTCAGCTCTAATCAGTAATAAAAACTGATGGTTACAGCCCCTATCAGGTTATATTTTATTAACCAGCTGGTTCTGCTCATGTTTGAGTGGCTAACAACTGTTAGCTCTTTAACATACACACACTTACTCATATATACATATATAGCTGGGACTTAGTGCCCTTTTTTCTGGGATCGCAGGCAGAATCACTGCATCACAACAAGCTGTTTTGTGACAGTCATGTTTATTTGTATACTTACAACATAGCAAAACAAACACATGGGCAAAAAACAACTAGGATTACAAGTAGGAGAGAGACAGTTGCTTGTAGAAGCTAATGAGGAGGTCAACAGTAAAACAGCTAGTGTCCATATCTGTGGAAACAAACAGAGGATGTACTGTCAGCGCAGATGTTAACTGAGCCAATGAAGGAGCATCCAAGCTAAAAGTCTGTGCACTGTCACAGCAATCCACCCAAACCAACACATCTGTACTACACTGTGCAGGAATTACAAGTACTGATACTCACTTCTGAAACTCCCACTCCCTGTTGTCCAGAGGGCACACCTGTCTGGTTTTCAGCCAACGAGAAATACAGTGGAAATGGAAGGCATGCTGGGAAAAAGGAAAACAGACATGAATCTAGTGCCGGTTCAACACAGCAGTAACAACTATGAATTTACACAAGGAAGAACATCATAGACAATTCTCACTTGTAGAATATAATTATAGCTAAAGTGTTTTAAAGCCCATAGCCAGACTTCAGGTGCACAGTAGTCACACGTTTCTTTCTCAGTTTGAGTTGTGATGAGATGAGAAGCAGCAGCAGACATTTAGTTTTATAAAATGGATGTTTCACAGGTGGCTATGGAAACTCACATTGCAGACACCCCAGGCAACAGTGCACTCCTCAGAGGTTGCAGAAGCTTGGTTGGCCTGGCACTCTATACCTGATGGGGAAGGAGAAATTCAGTTCCACAAAACCAGCTCTAATGAATGTGCAGTTTCACAGCTGTTTCCTCTGAAGTGTCCCAAAGGAGTGTGCCTAGTCCAAAACAATGTGAACTCACAGAGATCCATGATGTGGTTTCGACAGATGGCACAGTTATCCACCACAATGTCCCAGGCCCACAGTGCCACAGCGTTCCACTGGAGAGAAATCAGAAACAAACTTAAAGTTCACACTTCAAATGTAAAACATTTAAGCACACTCATGCCTGAGCAGCACAGCAAGCAATATGGAAACAGGAAGTGACCCACAGTGCACAAGTTGTTGTGACCTGGTGCTTTTGTCATTTAATTTGTAAATGGTAAAGCATTGGCATTGGGCAAAGCAACAAGCAGCACAGCATTTCAAACCAAACCCATATACGTAATGAGTACCGTTGCTTTCAGAGGACATTTACACTGAGAATATATGTAATAGCAACAAGAACACAACGAGTGGTCGTGATATCACGACAGTTTGAACAACCAGAAAACACAAAATGATGTATCACAATTTTATCCCAACATTGAAAACTGCCGTCACTGTTAACGTTGGAAAATCCGGCTTAGCCGGTAGCCAAGCTAACAGCCGCTGAGAGCTGTGGTGTTAAGCGTTAGCTAACCATATTAAATCTGCTAAGCACCATTAGCACAGCTTTCCTCTTATACAGATTAGCCAGTAGAGAGCATTAGTGGTGTCCATCACAGCAGTATCGGTTCTTGTTAATAGTTTTAACTGGCCCCAAAAACAGAAGTGCACATTTATGCCGTTTTGAGGCAGGCTAACAGCTAATTATCGTTAGCTACCAACCCTAGGCTTACATTGTTTACTTACCCACTGCTGCCTGACATAAGGTCATGTACATACGCTTTGAGAGCCGCTGTACCAGAATCAAATTCCTTGTGTGTCAAACAAACCTGGCCAATAAAGCTGATTCTGATTCTGATTCTAGGTTGGCAGAGTTAGTGCTAGCATGACAACGGCAGGTAGCTAGTGAGGGTCAGTGAGCTGTGTTGGCGGGAATTTGGCGCTGTTAACCGAATATACACATCCGTTACACTTCCAAACTGAGTTACTCTATAAAACCATACCTTCTTTACTTCAAATCGCTTCTTGCTCGCTCCACTGTTTGAGCCACTCGGCGTATCCACATCCATAGCTGCTGCCATCTTGAACGGTGAAATTTAGTGGGACCACGAACTTACCCGGAAGAAATCCAGCAACTTCCGTCGGCGTATTAGCGCATTATTCACGGGTTGTAGCTGTTTGTTCTTATATCCTTATCATGGAGAGTTTAGATTATATTATGGTGCATACAATAACTGCAGCATTTTTGATTCTTTTAACACGATGCAAGGCGCGTCTAAAAATGAAAAGTCAGGTTCCACCGAGATTTGAACTCGGATCGCTGGATTCAGAGTCCAGAGTGCTAACCATTACACCATGGAACCGCTTGGTTGTTTGTGTAGTGAAGTAGAGTTTATATGATTAATACATAAACACACAATACATATATTCTTTTTTTTATTCACGTTTTTGAGTGTCTGTGTTTATTATACTCTGATAGGAAGGAGTATATTTAAATTCCACATGATTCCCGAGTTAACTGAAAAAAAAACTAGTAAGTGACTAAGTTCAGCTTGTCATATTCAGTTATTACAGTGTCTTGTTCTTTGGTGCTGC